TCAGTTAATCTCCAGGTGGGGCGACCGAGCCGACGCAGGGAGTTCCACCATTGTTCGCATTTGGAGTCTGGTTAAAGCTAAATGTGAAGGAAGGACAGACAGACAATGGTTGTTGTGACGTGTTTGCACTCGAGGCCGCATTGTCACGTGCCGTCGCTGAAATTAAAGTTGAACTTATGCTTTCAGTTCCATGTATTAATGCTGACTCCGATAATTCTGGCTTTGTGCGTCGCCCGCGGGGCTTGCGACTCGATGCGCAGGACTCACTCTCTTCTGAGGTACAGTGACTAACCCACTAGTGGGAGAGCGAAACGCGTGGTCGTTTCACTACATCAGTAAAACTACACGGTTTGCTTTGGCGTCTTTGGCGTCTTGGGCAAGACGGCAAAGACGGCAAAGATGCAATTTACCGAAAGATGTGTGTCTTTCAGTAAGACAGCGCAAAAGTCTTTGTAAGACATGGTGTCTTTGGAAAGACCGATAAGACCTCAAGATCTTTGATAAGATGTGGCTCACTTGCCTCCAAGATGTGCCTAAAGACTCAGTAAAGACGCTCCAAGACGGCCACGCTTGACCTAATTAGGAAATGGAATGCCCAAAAGCGGTCAATTGGTATCAAGGTACAGATATGGTAACTAATCTGACAGGATAATAACGTCGGGCACCAGCTCGTCGCCACTAGCCTCAGAAGCACTACGACTGGCAGCACCACGCTTACGGCCGACCTCAACGAACTCTGATGCCGTCATCCCATTGGTGCTCCTTCTTCCATTTCTGCACTGTGGTTACGTATTTTGTAGCGCGCCGGCCGAGCTTGCGTTCCCCGGTAAGCTGGTCCGCAGGGCCCACACAGTCTCCCCAACTTTCGACGGAGAAGTGAGTGGAGTGCCCGTGGGTATTGACATATACGCCGGTCTTCCAAAGATTGAGCGCACGCTCGACCTAACGAATGATCAGCCTAGTCTTGACCGCGGAAGCAGATCACGCTTACCGCCTGCATGGAGAGAAGCAACGCTCCAATAGCGGGAGCTTGCGAGCGCGGGGATGCGCCGGGGATGGCCGCTAGACAGCTGAGGTAATATGCGAAGGTATAGCGGATGAGATGGGACTGGAGTCCAGGACAAATGGCTTCGGCACGTTGGTCGCAGAGTCGTCCGTGGTATTCTCGGCAGCAGCGGACGGTGGATCCGAGGCAGGAGCAGTGGGGTTAACTGGATGTACCACGGCAGTATATCAGTGGTCGCAAATGGCGAAGATTCAAAGACGCACCATCGGATTCCTCTCCACCTGAAAGCTCCGTATGCCCTTGAGTGCCTGCGCCGCAAACTTGTTGTGCCAGTCGTTCATGCGATAGCCGACCTACGTGGCGTCATCGACAGCAGCGAGCGGAGCAGTGAGTCACATACCAGACCGTACCAAGGGCCCTCGAGAGTCGCGGTCTGCGGGGTGATTCACTGTCTCAGCGTCGGCAATGTCCTACTCTCGTTGCTTATCTTCGAAGGCGGCCAGGTCCTCCAAGTTTTTCTTGTCGTTGCGTGCGGCCTTGGCTTGGGCCTTCAAGTTCTCTTTTGCTGCCTTTTTGTCGTCGCGCGCTTTCTGCTGTTCTGCCCGGACTTTCTTATCGAGTCCGTATTTGTGAGCTGGCCGAACGTCCTTGTTTGTAGACCGTGTGCCGATGCGAGGCATCTCCATGGTGGGGATGCTTTGGCGATGGCAAGTGGGAGGGAAAGAAAGCGGGATAAGAGGCGATGCGTTGCCGCCGCCGTGACTCCACTTGCACTCGCATATCATTTTTTTTCAGGCAACAAACCCCCGTGAAACACCGGCGGAGCGGATACCGCTTTTCCGCTCCGAGCGCGCTTGGACTTCCACTCGGCTTTCCTCAAGCTTTCGCGGTCATGCTCAAGCACAAGAAATTCACCGCACGCAGCCTACCGTGCACCGCAGTACCCTGTTGTGGTCGATATTTCAGGAATGCAACGGCAGTGTCCAACCACGTACTTTCCGCTCACTCCCCATTCCACCAATGCACTCCTCGCAGTCCCTCGCCAGATATCGACGGTGATGTACCTATGGGCTCTCCAGGCGGCAGCCGCGCCTCCTCAGTGTTAGGTGGCGGAGATGCTGGTGCAGATGCGGCTCCTCCTCCACCGTGGGGCGTGGTATGCCATCATCCACATCTAAATGGTATGTTTTGAGCCTCACTAAATTTAAAGTACTGAAGCATGTCACAGGACGACCATGCGATCGCGAGGACAATTTTCTACTGCCCAATACCCCACCGCCCCCGCAGGTCGACATTACAAGCATTCCGATACCCTAGATCAGTTTAAAGCTTTTTATATTAACAAGTACACAGACCACCATGCAAACGAAATAGCTTTCTAATTTACTGTACTTCTCTGTATCCGCACATCTTGTAAAAAATCCGATGTCTTTGAAGTCTTTGACTGTGCATTAAACCGACCGACCACCAAGATGTGAAGTCAAAGATACGGCATGTCCTGTCAAAGACAAAGACATCCAAGACATGCCGCCAAAGATCAAAGACACTCCCCCAAAGACAAAGCTGCCTGAAAGACGAGGTTCAAAGACAAAGCTCTCAAAACAAAAGGTGCAGTTTTACTGATGTACTTAGAGTTTGCTGATGGATCTGAACTTTTGTGAGAGTGATGCCCTCTATATAAAGCTCCTGTCGACGAAAGGATTTGCACAAAAAGCTGTTGGAACACCAGCACAATTTTTTTTTTTTGCACTTTTGTTTTGCTGCATTTTTCTATTGTGATATGCAGGACGGATCAAGGCTAGTCTCTCCTAGACAGACACTTCAACACTACGACACACGTACCTTGTTGAGGCGTAAGTTGCCTTATGTGGATGCTGGTGGTAGTCCGCCCTTTTCATCTTTTTCATTTATTACTGATCGTTGCTGCGCCTCCTTAAGGGGCGCGGAGCTGTTTCATGTCCCTCAGTCTCATACTACTACGTGCGACTGAGGGTACGTCTATTACTGTCACTCATACATTATATTCTTACTTACCCTATTGTAGAGTACGGCTACTTACTCCGCCGTCTACAGGTGAATATATATAGTCTCATACTACTACGTGCGACTGAGGAGTATGGCTACTTACTCCGCCGTCTACAGATTCGCAGTTAGAACAACATTAGGTCAAATGCTTAGTTGCAAGAGAAACTCACCCCATGTCGTTCTCCACCCACATTACCATCCTCGCCTCTGATAAGCAGCTCGCCGAGCAGAACTGGCCGAGTTGGCACGACAGCCTCATCAGCCTTGTTCGTGGAAAGGGGCTGTCCCGATATACGGACGGAATGATTACCTGCCCCACGGGAGTCAGCCAGTTGGGCTTGCCTGGCCATGGGACCGCTGTGAACTCGAGAAACCCGACGGTGGAAGAGTGGGAGCTGCACGACGGGGTCGCGAGCGCCACCATCTACCAGAACATCATGGACCCTCAGGCTCACGGCATCAAGGCCACCATAACCAGCTTCGAGATGATGACCATCCAATCCTCAAAGTTCAATCACACGTCCGAGGTCTTAAAGAAGCTGGCAATGGACAAACTAAATGGTCAGAAACTCGAGCGCAGGATCGATATGTCCACCCACCTTGAGACGCTCACCAAGCTCCGCACCGAGGCGAACCGCATGGGGGCAACCGTGACCGACGTGGACATGAAGACCATCATCCTCGGGTCCCTTCCCCCTCTCGACTTCGGACCGTCGCTCATGGCAATGCAGGCCATGTCCGCTCCCGACCTCCAGATCAATCTCCTTTCGTACCACGATGTCCGCTATGTGCAGGAGATTGCGGATGCCAAGAAGGGAGGTGTCACGATGTGAGGGCTGTACATGTGTTGCATGTGCCCTCGCGCCACTGCACGACTCCAGACGGACCAATCGCTCGATTTGGAAACTCAAGAAACCGGATTTGGAATCATGCCACGGCCGCGTCGAACCCACGCTTTTCCCCTCAACCATAAACCACAGCGGGAGCATGTTCCAAACTGACTTGACGACCCGATGGCTCGCTAGCCTCTCGCACACGGGCATTCCTGACTGTCAAGCACCCCGGATTCTTCACTGCCAATTCGCTTCATTTGCAATCCACGCAGGCGTATTTGCCCTTTTCTTCGCAATTCGCGCAGGCGTACACTCTAATTTCACATCCCAGCGACGGTCCTGGCTGTTGACCGCCACTGTGGACTTACTCCACCACCGTGTTTTTCGACTTTTCAGCGCTGGAAGCCACCTTCCATGCACGCGTTTCACCAACATACCACCAGAAGAATGTCCTAGACCCGATTCCAACGGACGGAGCGGGGCCCGAAGGCTGTACAGGCTGGGGTATAAAAGGGACGGACTTTTGGCACTATAGATGGACAATTCTTGTACAGGGATTCCCCCCGCTCGTTTCCGAGTGCTCCTGTACTCTCAAGTAGAGTTGAATCACACACACACACACACACACACACTTGCAGCTTTAGGTCTCTAAGCTCGCACCACACTCACCCTCGTACCTTTCACCATGGTACACACCCCAGGACACCGACACCGACCGATACCCACCTTTCATCACTGTGCACTCCATGAGGAGTCCACACCCATTCGAACCAACGAGACATGCGCTGACTGAGCTTCCGCTCTAAATCGTCTCCACCAAGTAAACTCCCCTAGAGGCCGAACGAAACTGCCCGCCTGAATCCCATCATATTTCACATGGTAGCGCCGTGGTCCTTATCACAGCGAACGCCCTAGCCACCAACATTGATCTTCAGTGTGAGAACTGTGCGGTCGAAGGGCACACAAAGGAGCGCTGCTGGGCGCGCAGAGGTGGACTGGAAGGACAAGGGCCGAGACGCTGGAGGGCGCTGTATGGAAAAGAACTGCTGTGAGCCATCACATTGTGATAGCTCCCAATGTGACCTGAAAACACCGAACTCCGAGAACAATTAAAAATGATATCCCGAACCAACCCATGACCCGACGGAGAATCGAACTCCGTACCTCCCCGAAAACAGAACACCTATGTAAAGAATTCAGAGTGTGTTGCCACTACGCCACCGAGTCATGGACAAAAGAAATATCTTTGGCGCAAATGGCTTGACAGAGAATTGAACTCCGGACTTTCCATCAACCGATATATAAATGCTATAGATCCACGGAGCGTGTTGCCACTACGCTACCAAGCCATTCAAGAAGTCGAACCCAACGACCAACTCCGAGAAAAATGTATCCGGACCCAACTAATGGCTTGGCAGAGAATCTAACTCCGGACTTTCCGTCAACCTATATCCAGATGCTGCAGATCCATGGAGCGCGTTACCATACCAAGCCATTCAAGAAGTCGAACTCGGACCACCATGGGTCAACTCACAAGTTTAAAAAAGTATATCCCAACCCAACGATGGCTTGACGGAGAATCGAACTCCGGACTTTCCGTTAAACCGATATGGGAATGTTCCACAGGTACACAGAGCACGTTACCGCTACGCCACCAAGCCATGAACCGGACTACCAAAAAAATCAATAAGACCATTGCTATGAAAAAGAATGGTTATCGTCAAGGCTTGACGAAGAATCAAACTTCGAACCTTCCGTGATATGCAAAGGTTATGTATCGCTACGGAGCGCGTTACCACTACGCCAACAAGCCGTACAAGTCGAACGACCAGCCAAGACGATTGCTGTAGAAAGAAGGGTTTCCGTCGGAACGGCTTGACGGAGAATTGAACTCCGGACTCTCCGTTAAACCGATATGAGAAATGTGCATTATTACGGAGTGTGTTACCATTACGCCACCAAGCCGTAGGAGTCGAACGACTGGCCAAGACGATAGTAGTAAAAAAAAGAAGGGTTTCCGTCGAACGGCTTGACGGAGAATTGAACTCCGGACTCTCCGTTAAACCGATATGAGAAATGTGCATTATTACAGAGTGCGTTACCATTACGCCACCAAGCCGTAGGAGTCGAACGACCGGCCAAGACGATAGTAGTAAAAAAAAAAGAAGGGTTTCCGTCGAACGGCTTGACGGAGAATTGAACTCCGGACTCTCCGCAACCAATCAATACAAAAATATGCATTCGGAGTGCATTACCATTACGCCACCAAGCCGTAGGAATCGAACAACCAGCCAAAACTATCACCATGAAAAAGAAGGGTTTTCTTCATAATGGAACGGAGAATCGAACTCCGAACTCTCCGTAATGCATACTGCGAACTACATAGTAATGTGGAGTGCAATACCATTACGCCACTGAACCGTTCGAAAAACATGCCCCGACTTCCCACTAGATGGACAAAAAGGAACGAATGGCCCGTCGGAGATTCGAACTCCGGTCCCTCCATTAATTCAGTTTCCTGCCAGCTATGTGAACAGAGTGCGTTACCACTACGCCATTGTACCATGTGTGCAACCAATACGGGGGTCCGGTAGGAGGCGCACGAAAAAGAAATGGAAAAGAGGGATGGCTCGACGGAGGATTGAACTCCGGACTTCCTGCAAAGACGCGCCTGTGCAAGAACCATGGCAGGATGCGTTACAGTTACGCCATCGAGTCGTGAATGCCAAAACGACCTGAAAAGATGGGACAAGAACTCCGGGTAGTCAAAAAGGTGGGTAGCATAGGGAAAAGGCTCGACAGAGGATCGAACTCCGGACTCTCCGTAAGTCAAACACTGGGGTGAAAGGATACGGAGTGCGTTTTTCCACTACACTATCGAGCCGTCGCAGGCGGAAGCCAGATAGGAGGAGAGTTAGGACCGGACATCGAGTATCTGAGGACAGGGCCAACAAGTCCGGGTTGCGGAGTCGGTGCCTGACTAAAGATGGTGCGGGTATGGGTTCGCGGAGTTCAGGAATGAGTCACAAGCAAACTCTGGGTGGAGGAGCATGCGAGCAAGCAGGTATGGGACACAAAGGAACAACTCCGGCACAGCCTTGGGCTGGGGTATAAATACTACAGCTTGTTTTAGCAAAATGCATCTCAGTTTTGGCCCACATCCTCACCTTCTAAGCCTTAGTCAGCTTAGGAGTAGCTAAACACCCGCCCTGAACATCACCTGGAGGTCACCCGGAGTCGAGTTACACAGTAAAGTGACCTCGGTACTCCCTCGCCGCCATCAGACAGCGAACGGAGTTTATATTTCGGCATAAGTTCAGCGCCGAATAAATTGAACCGTCTATTCCTCCCCTACGTCAGTAGGGCAGTGAAATCTCTCAAACAGCACAACAAGGTCTTCAGAGTTCGTGTGTAGCTGCTAGCTAAGGAAGTTGGCAGTGCAGAGCCCGCAGGAAGTCACCTTCAGCAAGCGAACGGGTGAGAAGTAGAGAGAGGGAACTCCATAGAGGCACAAAGAGGGGTAAAGGAAGGAGAATTTGCAGGAATGTTATCGCAAACACATAAATTCCCCTGGTCTTACAATCCACGACTCAAAGATACTTCGGACGACTGTGGTTCGTGGTCCAGGAAGCCCCCAAACCCATATTTCACCTCGGACTTGACGAATTGGACCCCGCATCGCCTTCCAAAGCCCCTCCCCGAGGAAGTGTAGAACAGATTCAATCTCCGTTAGCCCAAGAAGGCTAACTAGGCATCGGAGCTCGCTCGGTCCACCCTAGGTAGTAGGATTTTGAACCAACTGTTCGAATCCTTGTACGGATATCCCCACCAATATTATTTAAACCTCCCTACGTACTTGTCTACCGCGACAGAACAAATTCCCCCTAGAGGACGAGCATTTAAACATAGCCCGGATCTCCCCACCATCTGGCAGTTTAAAGCACCGCAGTCTGCATCACAGCGCACAGGTCTCGTGCATGGTCGCGCAAGGACGCAGAGGTCCTTTGCACGAGGGGGAGTGTTAAGGAGGTGATCACAGGCTGGACTTTCCGAGTATTTAGACATTGTTTTGGCGTAATATACAGGGGTTCCACTGCTTGTTTCATACCACGACAACGACCTGACGGCTTCGACCTCAACAATAATTTTAACTGGGCATGATGTATGAACAGAGTACAACCTCCGACGAAGGTTCAGACCAAATTCCAGCCAAAATTGATGGGTTGATCGAAAGCTACGGCATCACAGATCGGAATCCGAGGCACGGGGACATCAATTTCTTGCCATCGGACCGCTCGCCTCACTTGGCATCGTCATTCCCCCACCATTTCTTCATCGATCCACGATCTTTGTGGCTCATTGTGATCCCCAGATTCTGGGCCTCCATCTAGGACAATACTGGATGGCAATGGGCCGAAGTACTCTTCTTTATGCACTCAAGAAAGCACAACTGCTTTTTGGGTCAGCCATGCTGGCCACCTTCGCAGTACACAGCACCACCATGCTATCAGTCTAGAATTGTACAGAGGACTTGTCATTATCCAATCCTTCATTCTCAGAGGTACTTTGAGATTTTATCTGTTCACTTCTGATAGCTCTGCAGGGCATTATCTCAAACCACCCAATTTTGGTCTCGCTAATAGTTGAATTTTTTTGGAGGAGCTGCCAGCATCTGGGAATGGAGTTTGGCATTCAGCCACATCTCAATACTTCCCATTGAGTAGCCTGGATCTTAATTTTGCCTATCTCAGATTTTTTTGACTTGCAGAACACTTATTCATCTCATGGCCTCGATTTTGAGGGTTTCCCTTCGGTCGGAAGCAGGTATTCTGATCATTTATATACCTCATATCTACACCAGAACTATGTGAGATAGTGAACATAGCCTCCCTGTATGATTCCAAGTGCAAGCGACCACCATTTGAGTTCAACACATTATTTGGCAGAGTGGCCAACTAGCCTGTTATTTGGCCATGTTGGACACCCACGCAAAAGAAATTCACTGCGAGCTTAAATCTTCGGATATCAGGGACCTTGGGGGCTTGAATCATTCTTAGGATGCATGCCTTTGTCTTTGATTGACCCTCTGAAACGATGATGCGAGAGGCACAAATGCTTAGGTGGCCAGGTAAGTGGTCAAAAATAGTACATGCTTTCTTGCAGCTGCTGGCTACAGCGATCAAGTTATATACACCTCTCGGGACCCGAGGACTGCGTGAACACTGTGAGTAGATGTTAGCAAAATAATAGATTATTATGGGCCAAGATGAGTAAGGACCAGGAACAAAAATTCCGGTACGGGGAATCGAACCCCGGGCTAGTGCGATTGAGATTACGCAAGCGGACCTGATTACGTAACACTGAAAAGCACCAATGTTGACCCCTACACCATGCCGGAGTTACAGACAAGTCCTGGATGCAATATGTCAAGGGATGAAGGCCAGGAACGAAGAATTCGACAAACCGCATCGAAATTGAATATCTGGTTGAGATTGATGTCGCAAATAGGGGGGAAACACCTATCGGCATGTTTTTTTAGGCTTACTAATATGTTACCTCGGTCCTCAAATATTTCCAGAATTTTCCGAGCCACGGAGAGTACAGCAACAGCGTGTAAAGATGAGTGATGCGGAATTGATCGGGTTTTTGATGGCAGCTGGAATCGACTCAATCTTTCACAAATTCAGAAAACAAATAGCGTATGGACTGGAGGGAGGTTTGAGTTTGTTATTGTCATCCAAGAAGTAGTACTTCCATCGGCAACTGGGGCTGTGGAGAACTCCGCGCAAACCATCCGTCTTTTGATGGCATCATCGATACCAGTTGAAGGTCGACAGCTTGTTGAAAAAACGGGTTTAAAACGATCCTTTGTTCTTATAAGTTTATCTCCGTATACCAAAATTTTCTTTGACCTCCTGGGTCATTCCAAAATTTTCAGAATGGTTGACCATTATACCATGCCGGATCGGTAAGAATTCACTAAGTCGATAGGGGCTCATGTTGCCACGGAAAATTAGATCATATTGGAGTAGTAAAAGTGCAGTCTTTACTTGACGATGTGACTGGTTTTGTAATGATTCCAAAATATTGGCCGCGGTTGACCACTACACAACGCCGGATCAGAAAAAATGCACTAAGTCGATAGGGGCCATGTTGGATTTGTACTCCTTGCTACCCTCTTCATCTTTCTTTTCCTCCTCCATGCTGGCCACGCAAAATTTCACCAAGTCAAAAGGGTCTTATGTTATTCGACTGGGATTGCTGCACATTGTGACATACGTATACTGACCAGCGTTCAACTTGAATGAACTAATCTCAGTTTGGTATGGTGAGTCAAGTTCATCCTCATCCCAGTCTGAATATGCAATTCATTGCAGGCTGCAATGATTTCCCCCCTTTGGTTAGACTCCACGTCGTACTCTTGTCTAAATTCAAACTTGACACGATTTCACTTGTGACTGTATTCAGATGGCCACTAAGTTTTCCCCCATCCATGCAGAAACAATTTGCAGGGCAACGTACTCTAGAGCGGTAGCCCAGAAGTTATCATAACGGTTGGGGAGAAACCTTAGATCTTTGGACTAGATTTAAATGTTCAACCCCTGGAAGAAGAAATATTAATCGGGATAAATACTCCGAGTCCCGCGTTGTGCCAATTAGAAAGGACCTCGGGCCCGCGGCAAGAAATTCAGGTTCTCGAAGAAGTGTTGTTTGATCCGGACCGAATAGACCTTTATTCCCCAAAAGTAATACACATGAGTGATATCGACAACGATTGGATACACAGCAAAGGACAGCAGTAGACAGCAATGAGAAAGCAATTCTAGGCAAAGCGCTAATTCTGTAGGTTCCCTCAAAACACATAAGCGACGTGCGCCCGGAAATTCGTGCGGTCCGTGGTGTACAGATTGACCAGCCGAAGCTGCGTGACTGAGCGCACGACTGTGGAGCCAGGCGCCACCGCTGCGGGATTGAAGGGATTCCCCTGGAGGCCCATTGAACGTGCCGTCGGGGAAATAACAGCGGGACGTACAGTAAAATAAGCATGATACGCTTCAGCGACGCTGAATGCCAGATTGAAGCGCGACACGGGACGATGGGGGCAGTTGCCCGAAATCTGTTTGACGATAGGTGGGTAGCCGGGGTGCTGTGGGTTTTTGGGTTTTAATCAGCAACGAAGACTATGTTGGACTGCGACGAACCTCGATCGCCAAATAGATCTTGTTCGGCGAATTGTCTAGCACACGTTCACGCGGATCGTCCAAGACGTCGCGAAAATCGAGAATTTCCGCGAGCGAGACGCCGTGGAGCGCCTGATTGCCGACGGCCTTGGGGGTGAACGGTATCTTGATCAATCCGGGAACAGACGGGAGAGCAGTGGGAATTTGCGGTTTCAGTCCGTGAGCGAATTGAGAGAAGACGGCACCGTGGGTCCCTGCCACCTGCCGCCGACTCTCAATTTTAAGGTCGTGAATGCAATGATAACATGATGGACTCCCCGCCCTCTCCATAAGCTCGTAAAAGATGCGCGCTGCGGCCTCGTTCGGCGTCTCCGGGTCGGGCGGCCCTGAGTGGGTATGGCGCCTTCCCTGAAAAAGAGATAACCCTCAGCGCAATTATATAGTTACGTATCTACATACCGAAGCGCGGGATTGCCGATGACGGGAGGGACTTTCACTGGCGACAGATGGGGGCATCAACTAAGATACCATGGTCAGGGTCGTCCAAATGCGTGAAAAATAAGAAATTTACCCCAGGGGCGTGCGGTTGTCCATTACTATGACATGGCGTTTGGGCGTATCGGCCTCCCATGCGATTTGGAATCACCGGGGCAGGAGCGGGAGCAGGTGTCTATGCTGATGAGAATTGCAGCAAAAACATTCATAGGGAGTGACCTACGGCTACGGGAGCTAGGCGCGGGGAATCGGTGTGTGTGGTATACCTCCGCTCGGTTATCTGACAACGGCGATCACAGTGAGTACACAATCCGATAAATCCGAGGCGAGATCCGTACCGGCCTCTGAAGAGGAAGCGGGTGATATACAGGCTTCAACGAAGTCAGTTTCAGCAAAATATAAAAAAGGACGGAAACTAGCCTGCGGCGGTGGACGAGGCCCAACTTGTAAAGGCGGCGGAGGATGAGAAAGACTCAGATTTACATGCCCCGCAATGCCCCGCTCCGGTCCAGGCTGCGGAATGGACGAGCATTGGTTAGTGAAATGGAGGCTCAAGATCCCTGGACCGATCACTCACAAAACCAGACCACGCAGACTGGGGACGGGACCCCCGAGATGAATGAGGATTGTTGCGCTCGCGTTGAAGAACCTCGTCGAAAAGAACATTGACCGAGGGAAGCAGGTTCCCCGCGTTCACGATCTGTGGAGATTAAAATATTAGGGTGGCATGCGATAAACATACAACCAAACATACCGCTGGGTTCGGACCAGGAGGAGAGCGCGACATGAATGAGAAGAGAGAACGGAAAGCAAGACAGCAATGGACAGAGCGAGAGAGCGAGAGAAGGGCAAGAGCGGCGACAAGCGTTGAGGGCTTTTATAGAAGTCTTCGGGGGCCAATTGGAAACAATGAACCTCAATGGGGCCACCAGGAAAGCGTTCAAAGCCCAATTGAATCGATCAAGGCAAGCGCCAAAGCCCAAGGTCGATCATGGTTGTGGCCAACAAACATCAGCCGGAAAAGAGCTTCGAAAATAGTGGTCCACAAATGATGCAAAAGGGTAAGTTGGGGCCGGCAGCGGAGTAACGCCCTCGGAGTGAAGGCATATCACTTTGGATAGTGCATACAGGGGTTCTGAGCGAGATTTTACCCAGAGTTTGCCAGCAGGAGGCCCCAGCGAACGAAATAAGATCTCCGGCACTTGCCGAGACAAAGTGCTCCGTCGACGAAAGGAGAACAAGGTCGTGCCACCTGCCAACTCGCACGCCGAAAGAAGGATCTAAACAATGGGGTCTTTACCCATGGGGACTTGCTGTGCCATCAAAACGAGATAGCACTTCAGTCATTCCTCAGTCCCGGAAGAGGAAATTCTGCAGGTGGACGACTCGCCGCTCAGACGGGCAGAATAAAAGCATCTTCGTCGTATGTAGTCAAATCGGTACAAGGCAAATCGAGAGCCGAATAGGAAATGCGCCATGGCCGGCGCGCGCAGAAAGAAGCAGTCGCAATATGGAACAAAGCAAGCGTGAATGGTACAAGGACCCATAAACACCCACACACCCCGGTCCCTATGGGATACCGGCCCCCAAGGAGAAATATCCAGTTAGTATAGCCATATAGACTCGGATTCCAGTTCAAAAGCAAGAGACCCGAAGAAAGACACACCTCCGGATTGTAGCTAACCAGTTCCGAAGCCTTTGCTGTGGAAAATACTGTTTAGCCTGTCTGGGGAAGATGAAGTGCATGTAGACCATTATCTTTCACGTACCGGGCTCCCGGTAAATCGTGGAGGACCATCACGGAAAACACTGTGCGAGTCCCGAGCCAATAAATGCGCCATAAACCGTTGACGCTGTGAAATAAGACCGTGAATTGATCAGCGATGCGAGAGATAGCCCTTCATAGCCTCGATGCGTCAAGCGCACCAGATAAGACGGAACTAGTACGAGTCTCGAGAAAGAAGGTCAGCCAGCTTCAGCCAGTGAGCCAGCAATGAGTAGCACTACCGGGCAGAGGCTTTGGACTGGTGCGCCGCTCCCGCTTGAGTGTGTTGCAGTGCGCCTCGAGCTCATGCCTTTCAAGTTGCCAGCAGCCACTACATGACAGACGCTACAATATTTCTCCTTTCTGATTTAGGGAAGTCGGCGGATTGAAACTCGAGGCGACCAGGATGAGGAAGATGCGTCAGGGAGCCTCGTTATACATTTTTCACCATGAAAGCAAAATGAGGAGTTGGGCAAAAGATCGAAGAGAGTTTGAAGGCTAAGGACGATGCCAAACAAAGCACAGCAGGGCAAGAAAAAAAAAAAGGTGAGCGAGTCTTTCAATACGGCTACATATGGGTTGGAATACTCATGATAATGGTGGTGGTACAGATGTAGTTTCTATAGAGCAAGGATGATTGTGTAGATAAGTAGAAATCATAAAGGCTGCGCTCCGATCCGTCGTGAAGAAGCTTTACTGTCCATTGACTTCTGCCTTGCCGTTGACCAAGATCTTTTCTTTGCCGTGCGCGACGGGAATGCCCAGGCGGAGCACCGCCTCGGCGACCATGGATCCCTCAGGGTGCGGAGGCTGAAAGGTACGCAACTGATAGTCGAGCTGCGTCTGGAGCACCGCTTGCCCGGATGCTGCGGCAATGAAGCCTAAAAACGGCGGCGACGGGTTCAGGGGACGCGTGCAGAACTCGGGGTGGGCCTGCAGGCCTAGGAAGAATGGATG